TCTAAGGAAGCAGAGGTCCTTCTATGACTGGTTACCACAAAAGGTTTTATCTAGGTGGCACAAACAACGTAAAGAGGCTAAAGCTACCATTAGTAAGGCAACACAGTCGTATCAGTGAAGATGGGGGGTATGCGCCACTTGGGAAGGTTTTCATAATGTTATTCTTTTTGTCTGCACTGAAACATGATTACAAAATGGTCATGCTTTTGTTTTGATCCATCACAATCATGAAATGGCCTTGTCTTGTGTTGGTACTCGAAGCTGTTGTGCATTTTTGACAGGAAAATGTCACAGACTACCTATAAGCACGAGCATAGCAGTGAGCATCTCCAAGTACTCACTAAAGTAGCCAAGCTAGCTCCTGATTATCAATGGCTGCTTTCTGCTTTCTTAAATGACTATCAACACAGGCATAACAGGATAATGTTCATGTTTTACTAAATTCACTTTGACAGAAGTGATGTGAAAACTTCTAATGGAATACAACATTAGTGGCGGGGAAGGCCAGCTAGGGACCGGCATCTTAAAGAGAGGTAAGCCATGATATTAGCTTTCATCAGAGTTGTGGTGATGCTCACAGAGTGAACAGGACAGTTTCAAGAGCTGTTAAGGAAATGAAATTAATTGTACTTGGGTAGACTGGCAAATGGTAGGGAAAAAAATCTAGATGACCCAGTTAGCTTTTAGGTTTCTGGACTAGGCTGTCAGAAGAAAGAAAGGAAAGATAAATAAAGGAGGGCTGGGGAGATCATGAGGTTTATTTTAAGTTTTCAGGCAAATATTCAATTAAAGTCTGTTAGGCAAATAAATAAATGGGGTTGGGCTTTAGGGGAGAGACATGAGCTAATGATACATAGTTGGGGGTCGTTAGAAAAGTAGATATTATTTGAATAGGAAGGAATGAGGATAATCCAGAGAAGAAAAACAAGGCAATAATTGTGTCTAAAATCACTATTAAAGGCAAAAGGAGATAGAACAAATGACCAAAATGTACAAAAGGAGACCAGTAGATAATGTCATCCCATAAACCCAGGGAGGAAAGAATTTCGTGAAGGATAAAGATATTAATAGAATCTAGTCCTGCAGAGAACCTGAATAACAGAAGGCACAAAAATAGTCCTATGTGTTTATAGGAGAGGAGGGTTTTATTGAAGATATGGACAAAGGGCTGAATGGAGGCAGGTTCCTTAGGACAGAGACAGTGAAGACTTTGAGAACACACACACACACACACACACACACACACACACACACGCATACACACCGATTAGACTTGACTAGCCAAAGCACAGACTCTTCCACCAAGGCGGAGGGGATAAAAAGGGAATATGAACACAAATACACATAATTTGGGAGATATTAAAATAAAAAGGAAAGTCATCTAACATAAATGGAGGGAAAAAGTTTAGGAGATCTACTAAAATAATTGTTGACAGAAATAGTGAAGAAAATGTACTAGGGATGCATGCAAAGCTTAAGGAGAAGTACGAAGCAATCTGTGTTAAGTATGGTATTTCAGAAAGAGAGTACTGTCTGGCGATGAAACACCTATAGTTATGCAAGTGGGTAGCTGAATTGAAGAGATTAGGGAAATGGCAACTTTGGGAGAGAGCAAGCCAGTCTACAGGGTCTGAGATTTTTATGGATGAAGGCACAGCTTGGGTGGAGGAGACGGTGATCCTGGTGCCAAAGTCTTCAATGAGAAAAACAATATTATAAAATGGTGATGGCTATTGGGCATCAAACACAAGGGAAGGCATTTTTACAGAGAGAGCAGTACCTTTGGAATTGGCCCTGGGAAATGAGGAAAGTAGCAAATCTAAACGAGTGGCAAAGAGTCATGAGTCTTAGTGGTGTTCTTGAGGGTCCAATTGGTTTCCATGGATGAATGAATACAAGGAGTATACAAGACAGAAATTTTGTTTCCAAAGAAAGGCTTCAGAGTACACAGGGACTGAGAGCAGGAAGGCATCAAAAATCAGTGAGGCAAAGGTAAGCGAGTGTAAAGGAGCAGAGAGATGAAGATACAAGAAAGTGCAGATGAATGGAGAGACCTATGTTCTGGGTGGTAAACCCACATAATACAAGTAAAAAATAAAATATAGAAAGAATTGGCTTGAAGATTTCCAGCAGAACTTATTTATGTTTTAAAAATTTTTAATGTTTATTTATTTTTCAGAGACAGAGAGAGAGAGAGAAACAGGGCATGAGCAAGGGAGGGGCAGAGAGAGAGATACACACAGAATCCGAAACAGGCTCCAAACTCTGAGCTGTCAGCACAGAGCCCGAAGCAGGACTTCAACTCATGAGCAGTGAGATCATGACTTAAGCAGAAGTCAGACACTTAACCGACTGAGCCCCCAGGTGCCCCTCCAGTGGAACTTGTTTAAAAGTTGATTTGGTATCAAGTGAGCATGGGTTCCAGAAAGAGCCCAAGGTCTGGCGACCTTAACAGCTGGTATGAAGGCTTTCAAGAGAACACTGTACAGGTGCACAATCACCTTGCAGTAAGGCTACACCGTTTTGTTATTTGAAGTACTACTTTATATTACCATGTGCTCAATTCAAGAAGTTGAATAGCTTTACCTGTTAAGTCAGGTTACAATTCTCAACTGTGGTGACATTAACAGAATGAGTAATGTATCTATGCGTCTGGTAAAGTCTCAGATTGTGACTTACAGTACTGATTCATAAACCCTTATGTACCAATGAATCACCTGTGGGTCTTGTACAAATGAAAATTCTTATTCATTAGGTCTGAAATCACACATTTCTAATAAACTCAGATATGTCGCCAATATTGGTCATCCAGGGACCACTTTGAGTAGAAATGTCCCCTAGAATTCAACTTTTAATTAAATGCATTATGTTGAGTATATGGATTAAACACATGGCTACTAGATAAGAAAAAATTACATTAGGTTTTAAAGTATATAAAACTGAGGTGATAATGTTCGAGGATATTCTAACTGGTTGAAAACACTTGAAAATAATAGATGAAAGAAGTCAAGTGAAAGAGAAAAAAAAAGAGGTAAATATTTAGCCATTTTTAATGCATGCCTAAAAAAGAATATCACTCAAGTTCATGAGACGGACTTCCCATGTGTTGAAAATAAGTTACATAAACTGACAGGTGAAGAATTAAGAAAACTAATGTACATTTAAACTGCATATTCATCATCATTACTATGTATTTCTCTCACGGATTTTTAATACATATATATTATATTTAGCCTGAAGGAAATGTCTAGGTAAATCATTTCACAGCCTATTTTAGTAGGCAATTAAGAATGATGTTGTTATTTCTGAAAATGAGAGAAGTTGATAAAGGTGACTCACGAAGCATCTGAAAACCACTCATACAACATTGTACTTTTTTTTTTTTTAGCACTTTCAGTCTGTCATTGCTGACACTATTGATTAAATGCAAATTGCTTCTAGGTAACCATATGATAACAGGAAATTTTTGAATTTATATTCTTGAAATGCTGGAACTCAATTTCCCTGCTTGATCAGAGCTGTTTTAAGATACAGAAATAGGATGACAAAAAGATAAGTAGATTATTAAGATAAATTTAAAAAATTTAAATTAGCTAATAAAATGTCTGCCCAAGGTGACTTATCCTCTCAATGGCCAAATTTGTCACAAGAACTTTAAAATGTATTTGGAGTTCATCTTTTCTACATAATTTTCCACTCCTAGAAATTCCCTCCACAATCCTAACAAAGAATATACCTTCAAATAAGTATACATTGAAATAACACTATTTTGCTCATATTCTACCATATATATATGCTTTAGTTTAATTTTAAAATTAAACATTCACAACGTAATTATTGCTTATTTCATGAAATTTATAATAGCCTATTACGATGCTAAGAACACTGTATATAACTAATAATGTTTTTAAAATAACTTCCAAATGTATAAATAGTTAACTCTGAGACATGTTGATAAATAATCTGCCCCCCCCCACATCAAGCAGCCTAAAACTAGATTATTTTCTCCTAGAAGAAAATCGTTTTCTGCTCTCCAAAAGTTCTAACTCCACAGCAAGTATTAGCTTGTACTTGCTAATACTTGTATTAGCAATACAATAATTGTACTTAGCTTGTACAATGCTAAGATAGCATTGTACTTGCAACAACCGAAGGGAGTTTGTATTGTATGAAACTGAAGGCTCCGAACAAAAAACAGTTATCCACTCATGTGACCTTCCTATAGGCTAAAAGTATTTGACATTCAGAATATTTGTATCTTTAGCCTTCCCACTACAGAGTATTTACTTTGCCTGTTAAAACTCTCTCACAAACAAATGCCAAAGTGCATGTGTTATAATCATTGAAGTTGAAATATCAAAGCCCTGATAATATCCTTGAAGATGAAGCAGCACTTATTAAATTAATAAAAATCCCTATTGTGAAGGACAAAACTATGATGTCTCAGTAAGGAATAAAAATAGCAAAACACCTCTTGCTATAAATAAATATTAAAAGACGCTGGACATTTTTTAGTTATGGTAATGCAATACATAAATATCTGGAAAATGCAAATCTATTATGACAAGTACTAAGGAGTATAAAGAATAACGTTTTGATGACAGCAAGAGCATAAACAGGGTCCTAAGTATAGTATCTCTAAGGGTCTATATTCTATTCTGCAAGCTTGCGAAGTCCCAGCCTTGAGGTGACAAAACAAGACATGAAGGAAAATCAATATGAGTTCATGTTATAAAATTGTTAATTTACAGCTAAATAATATAAAAGTTAAAGAAGGCTTGTGAAAAGCATTCTTGCTCAGTCACAGCACAACCAGGAAAGATTTCTCTATGCTAAACTCTGATTCTGCTTGATATGCAAAATATACTTTAAAGATATATTTAAAAGCATTGTATCATACTGCTTTAATCTTTTCAACTGATAGAATGAGACAGTACAAAGCACAGAGTTGACAAGCAGCAAAACTTAGGAAAATACATAAAATTTAATGCATAACCTACATTGACTTTTTCTTTAAGGTCTGAGAAGTTGCCTTCCTTCCGATAGATTGCAAATTCAGGACTCTGCAACACAGCTTCTGAACGAGTAATCCAACTGTGAAGTTCAGTTATATCGACGTCCAACCTAAGGCAGGAAAAAATAAGGGTCATTATTTCTTGATTATCTCTTTCTTCTGTAAGAAAAAAAAATGCAATCTATGCACATTTACCATTCTCCTTCCAATCTGAGACTCCTGCCTGATGCCCCTGTTACTGTTAATAGCACTACCATTTCCCTAGTTAGGTAGGCTCAAAATCTGGAGTTAGCTTTGATCTACAGTCTTATGATCATGGAGGTCATTTTATTAATCACAATGTAGCAACTGACTCCCTACAGCATCTCCTATAAGCTATCAATCAGCCTCTGTCTGAATGTTTGCACTGAAAATTACTACTCCCCAAGACAATCCTCTTTCTTTCTGGAAAGTACTTACAGTAAACAAATAATTCCGGTCAGTAGCTCCCGGTGAACCATATCTTTGATATCCATGCCCTTGTGTAGCTTCACCAATACAGACTCTGAAACTGGCCCTGTGACTTGCTAAGGCAAACGGGATATTAGTAAGTGTAATGCAAGCAGAGACTTGATAAGTGCTTGCGCTGTGGATCCTTTCCTCTTAGAACATGCACTGAAAATGCAACTGTTACCTCAGAATTCCAACGGCCCATTGAGGAAGCTCAATCTAGCCAGGTGGAGAGACAACATGAGAGAGAATGAGGCACCACACACATGAATAAAGCTTTCTTTCACCTGTTGACCCATATCAAACACCAGTTGAATATAAGCAAATGAATTCTCCACCTGATATCACTTAGAGCCTCAGAACTACCCAGAGAACCCTGCCCACATTGCAGAAGTGTAAGAAAAGATAAAGAACTGTTGTTTTAAGCCACTAAATTTGGGGTTGGGTTGTTATGCTGCAATAGACATCTAATCATATACCCTGATATTTTCAAACATTCTTTTATTGCAGAGACTTATGAAAAGAGAACTGAGAAATAATCTAATCCAAGTTTATTAAAATAGGCAAACACAGTCACCAGAAAAATGTTTACTCACTTTTCACAGGCAATTTGCAAAGTAGAACAAAAGTACAAATACAAAATTTAAGACACCAAGTAGAGTACTTTAATCACCATGCTTTATCTTTTTATCCAATACCACACTCAAATAAATAGTTGAAATCAACTCTTTAAATCCCCTAGAAAATATCCAATGGTACCCTACCCTAATCCTAATTACTTCAACAGCCATTTCCATTGCTTGCTGGTTTCTTACTTAAAATGTATTTCCTAAAGAGATCATGCGAGTTGTATTTAGAACAATCAGGAAAGAATAGACAATTATCTTCTTGGATATGCAGCCTATGAGTCCAATCAATATTTTGATTTCCACATTAGACTTTTAACTCACACTGAAGTTAAACTGAACTAAAACTTCCCAGAATTTATCACATAAACTATCACTAAGCCAGTTCTCCACAATCACAAATGTAGAAGCTGATTTTGTGAATTCGAATTTCAGGGCTTTAAATCATAAAAACCTGATAAAATTGTGCATATCACTTGCAGGCTACTGTGTTAAAACTAAGCTGATACAGAGCTTCATAGGGCAGAAAACACTTCCAAAAACATTCTCTTTTTACGTTTTTAAAAAAGCCCATGGTAACGTCTTATTAATCTCTGTGCTCATGTAAGGAGATGGAAGCTCAAATAAATTAAATTAACTGATCTCAGACTGTTAGAACCATGGAGAAGGAACTTAATTCATCTTGTTTACTGTTTTATCATTCACCTCAAAAAAAGTCTAGTTCAGAGTAACAAATATTTACCGAGTAAAGGTTACCCAACTAGAAACTGTACAGAACAGAGATTTGAATTCCGAGATTTTGACTCCAATCCTATGTCAGTGAATATCAAAACATTTTTACGTATGTGAGCTGTAAATATTTATGGATTTTTATTTTATCATACATGGTGATTCTTCTCTTCCCTACATTTGTTTTTTTCCTGTAAGTTCAGTTATTGGCTTTCCTATTTCTTCATTCAAAATGGTGATGGTGAAATAGAGTCCTGTTGCAGGCTTCTAAACATCTCTTTTTCTCTCTGTGATGTTAACTCATTAAATCAAGTCTTCAACTCTAGTCATGTAGCCGCCTACAAAATTCAGTGCTTGTTTTCCATCAGAATGTTTCAGAAAAGCATTTTTGATTTTCCTCTGGTACAATATAAACTTCACTGTGTCTCTGTGTCTGAAGGCATTCACATGCCAGTGCGTGGGGCAGAGCAGAAGTACGGAGATGTTAATACCACCAGCGTGACACCAAATGAGAGCTGGGAGTTGGAAGGCAAATATCGCAGCTCCCTTGCCCTTCAGCATGACCGTCATGATAAAAGATGCACACAGTGCCTCGGAGGGTTCCCAGAAGGATTCCTCTCCAGTTGCCTCTAGCAATAACTCATCTGTGTATCCTTTATTCTTTTCCTAACCTCACTTCTCCACTTTGCTTCCTGGGATCACTTCTCCAATAAACTATTTGTACCTAGATCTTTGTTTACAGATCCACTCCTGGAGGATCACAATGATCAATGGCCTCAAATGAACCCAGGATTCTGCCATACTTAGGTGTTTTCAACTTGAACTCTGACTCTCCACAGGAACTATTTTAGACTTTTTCTAAAGATCTCAAAGCACTAACCCATCATCCTTTTCCAGCTCTCCACAGATGACATTTTTTATTACACCAAGAAAAGAGTAATTATCAGACTAGAATTTCTTCTACTTCCTGTATCCAAATATTCAATCTTATCTGTGAGCACCTTTCTCATTCCATTCTCTTATATTTGAGCCAGTTTCCCTTCTTTATCTAAAGTCAATCTCTCTACCTGCATTTGATACTTTATTCTCTTACTTCTTCTCAGGCATGTGAGTTTCTCAAAGTTTTATTATTTGTCTACTGTAAATTCAACCCTTCCCTTTCAAGTGAATTCTGCATATAGAAATTTAAACTTATTGACTCATATTTTTTAAAGTAAACTCTCTCCTGACCCTCATATTCCCTTCCAGCCATTCTCTTATCTTCTACAAAGGCACATTTTTTCAAGAGTTATCCAGGTGACTGTCAGTTCTCTACCTCCTTTTCACTCTTGCCACTCAATGTTGTTTCTCAACAAAAACATTGCTTAATACAGCAATCATGTCACTGAAGCCCATGAAGAGTTTCAAGTTCTTTCTAAGAAACACTTAACACTGTTGACCACACTCTCCTCCTTTTCCCTCCACACCACTCTATTCTGTCTTCTTTTTCTATGACCACTGGTAATTTTTTCTTTTCAGTATCATCCTCCTCCACCCACTCATTATACACTAAAGTCATCAACCATCTTCTATTCAATATATTACTCTGTTTCACTGGCAAGTTATTCATGCTCATGACATCAATGGCAATCTGTATGTGTCAATGGCTCTGAAATACATATCTCTTATTCCAGCACTGCTTCTGAGCTCCATGGCTCCATAACCCTAACATACTGGCTGTCTCCAGTTGCTTGCTGTAAAAGCTCCTTCAAAAGCAATGTCAAGACTTATTGTTTGCTCTTGTCCCCCAAACAGGCACTCCCCAAGTGTTCCTCAGATCTGTGAATGGCATCACCATCTATCATCTTTGACATCTTCCCCTCTCTACCATCTCGTATTTAATCAATCACAAAGCCTAATCCATCAAACATTCTATTTCTTCTGAATCTGTCTGCTTCTCATGGTTTCCACAGCTGGTACACTCATTCACCTGGCCATTAAATATAATCAGAACTACTGCAACAGCCTCTCAACTGGCTCTGGAAAACCGTTCTGGAATCCTTCCATCAAGTCGACACATTACTGGCAAGTGATAAGTTCTAAAAGCATATCTGAGGGCACCTGGGTGGCTCAGTAGGTTAAGTGTCTGACCCTTCATTTTGGCTCAGGTCATAAACTCATGGTCATGAGATCAAGCTCCATGTCATGCTCCGCAGTGGACATGGAGCATGCTCAGGATTCTCTCTCTCCCACCCCCTCCGCCCATCCCCTATTTGGTTCTCTAAACAAACAAACAAACAAACAAACAACAAATCTGATTATGTTACCCTATTTCACAAAATCCCTCAAAACTTTCCATCTTTCTTAGGATACAGACCAAAATTTCAATACAGCCCTTATCTGGCCATAACAGATTACTTAAGCTTTTATTCTATTTTAGCCTTTATTCAAGCCCTTCTAGAATGAAATCTCACTTCAACTTTCTTAGGGGGTCCAGAACCGCACTTAACTTTTGTTCCTACTTCATTGACTCTTATTCACCCAGCCACTAGAACATTTCCGTCTTGGAAACTTAGCTGCTTAGCATAATCCACTTTGGCCAAACTTGTCCCTTTTCCTTTAAATCAGTCTGACCCAATTACACACCAAATACACTCTGACTCATAAAGGTGAGATATAAATATCCATCATTCACTGTCAAATTCCCCCTTTAGACTTGCTTCTCTTTGGTTTCATACCCTGTCAATTCAGACGGTCTCGAAGAAAGTTTGTTCACTTCCACCTACGGGTCCATTAAAATTAAACTTGACTAAAGGTACACATCTGGCATTACAGCTGGGAGAATTGTGCTAAGACCTATGCTGGAGAAAGTTTTCTAATAGTCCTGGAATTTACACTGGTCTTGTTGACACACATGTTATAATTATCATTTACCATCACCTCCAATCCACTCCAAAAAGTTATTCATTCAATTTGATAGTAAATGAATGTCATTCAAAAAGAACTCTTATAATACTTTTAGTTATGTGTCTTTATGAAGAACGTGAAACTGTGTATGTTTCCTTTTAAAACAGTCAAATGTTTCCCTTCATGTCTACCACAAAGTTTATATTAAGCGCTTACTATGTGCCATGGTATTAACCTCCATAGATAACAGAAAGAAAAATGCATCCGTCCGCATGATCAAAAAGTGTGGTTTAGTAAAGCATCTGTTTGACAAAATAAAGTGCTTTAAACATTGAACTGGGGCTCAGATCACACTGTTCATTTTTTTGGATAATCAAAAA